AGGACTGCGATGTTCTTCAACATTACTCCTGCAGCCATATTCCTCAAAATGCCATCGCTAATTTTGATCGCCAAAAATCTCCAAAACAATAGCAGGCGTGCCTAACAACATGCAACATCTAGTTACATGCTTTGCATATTGCCAGCTTTGGTTGACTACATATTGCATCTGTTACTTTTCCATGTTGTATACTTTTAGGCGCAGCTGCTTTTCGCTTGGATTTTATTGGTTACGAAAATTTAGCGTGGCAATTGCCCGAATTCCACTGCTGGTACGCAGTGATTAGCTGTCCAAAGTGGCCGTAGTTTATCTGGTAATGCCATGGATTTTAATGGTCCCACGCAGTGGCTGGCCACCCTGACCTAGACACGAAGTGCGGCCAAAGTTTTAAAGATGAATCTGGATGTTTGACTTTTATATACTTCTATTCGGCGTATTTACAGTAGTTACATATATGTTCAGAAAAGCTTTTGAGCACTCTTTAACGAGCCCTGACCGCCAAAATAACGTAAGCGAAATTTTTTTCAAAATTTACTTTTTGATGCAAAAATATTCCTCGAGCATCTAGATGCATTTCTGCATCAAAAAGAAAATTTAGAAAAAAATGTCGTTTACGTTATTTTGGCGGTTAGGGCTCGTGTAAAATAAGATGCGTAAGACCGTTTGCAAACAAATTAAAAAAAAAAAAATAACGGAAAATTTTATAAATTGCACTTGTTGTATGCCTAAAACCGCAAAATCCGTAAAAAAAACACATAAAAATCAACGCGATTTTTTAGACGCTTAAAACTTTCACTTGTTTCACTAGAATTACATAACCGATCTATCCGCGTACCAAAAACTTTTCCCAAAATTCAGATTAAGGTTCAAAATTTAGATGAAAATTTGTTGAGTTTTTCTACGTTCTGTATAAAGTTTGAAATTTTGACTTATGTGGTTTCGATTGAAGCATGAACCATGTTAAAAAACAAAAAATAACAAAAAAATTTTAACTTAAAAAACATTGCCAATATCAAACAACAAACACAATGCACTCGCTTTTGATTGCCAGTGTATGTATGTGTGAATGTTATTATCTGACTTATAAATCAGCGAAAAAACCAAACAAGTTGCACAAGTGTTCACAGCACTTGGTTAACATACAAGCAATATTTTGCCATCGTTTTTACCAACACAAGTTTTTAGTTTAAGATTTTCCTCAAAGTCGCTAACTTTTCGAAAAGTAAATCAACAGAATACAAAAGTTATGTTTTAACTTACTTCTTAGATTTAGGGCCGTTTTCTTATGTAACCTTTAACTTTAAAGCTCACTTTATATTTAAAGGTTACATTAAAATTTATGATTGTGCTAAAGTAAAGCATTTCTATTATCGGTTTTTGACGTCTGTATGCTTCTTGGTTGTAAACCAATTTAAAACCGATAATAAAATGCTTTACTTTAGACACAACCATACATTTTTATGTATGCCTTAAAGTTAAAGGTTACATGAGAAAAAGGCCCTTAGGCTGTATGCATAATATTCATAAGTTACAGCATAAAATTTTGCGAGAAACTTAAGAAACCCGAAACTAACCAAAATAACAAAATGAAAGTGAAATCGAAGCAAAATCAACGGAAGAAATTGCAGATGCACGCTTCTTTTATTTACATACATATGTATGTATGTATGTATGTATCTATATATACTTGTTCTAACATGGGTTCTTACATACATACTTACCTACTATAACTGAAGTGTAAAGCCAAACTAGTTAGTAATGATTTTATTTTGTTAACTCGTATTCTCTGATGTGAAGTCTAACTAGTTCGCTAACTGGTATGATGCTTATCAGGGTTAGAACTACGACAAGTCTAAATCGGAGTAAATGCGGCGATAAATCGTACCCATGTAGCTTGATAGATATTTTTATGCTGGAACCTAGTACTATTTACATACTATCATACTACTAGCCCCGGCGAAGTGGAGGTTGAGTTTCCAACAGTGGTTCCAAAGATCCCTTCCATGCCCACCCTGGCATTGAAGTCGCCAAGCACGATTTTAATATCATGGCGGGGGCAGCGCAGGAATGTACGCTCCAAGCGCTCATTGAAGTAATTATTGGACGCCTAGTCCTTCTCTCCCGTCGGGGCATGCGCGCAGATGAGCGAGATTTTGAAGAATCTCACCTTGAAGCAGATTGTGGCTCGACGTTTGGCCATCGTGGTGAACGACAGTACTCGGTGACGGAGTCTCTCTCCTACCACAAATCCAACACTCAACTTGCACTCCTTTACGTGGCAGGTGGGGTAGATGTCGCAAGGCTACACGGTTTTCTTGCCTTGCCCCGTTCATCGTTTTTCTTTGATGACGGTGATGTCAGCCTTTGTCTTTACGAGGACATCAACTAGCTGGGCAGAAGGACCTTTCCGTCCTGATAATCCAGGTGTATACCCTCAAATAATCGTCTTTTATACGCTTACCGTGGTCGTCATCAAAAAAAGGTGGTCTCATCCGAGGCATATTTTTTGTTTTAATTTGGGGCGCGGCCCAAATCCAGTGCACGCGAGGAGTCCCAAACGGGTGTTTAGTCGCTACCCGGTGGAAGCGTAGATTTAAATATCTGGATGTCGAGATCTGCAATTTGAATCCTACCCAAAATAATTACTTTGGCCACTCCCACATGAATGATAGTCAAAAGCCTCCCCGCTTACGTGAACCCCTGTTTAAGTTTTTTTTTTTTTTATTTAAAGTTTGTTTCTATTTATCTACTTTGTTAAATTTATTTTATTTTTAATTTTATTTCGTTTTAGTTTTCTATTTTATTATATTTTCCCGTTAATTTAATGCAATTTTTAGTACATTTGATTTTGTTTAATTCTTATTTTTATTATTGATTTCTTGCTCATTTAGTTTTGTTATTAATTCTATTTATATTTACTTTATTATTTTAACTTAATTTAATTATTTTTTGGCTTAGTTAATTTTGTTTAGCCTTTTTCATTTTTATTTAATTTAACTATTTTTTTTTTATTTTAATTTTATTATTTTCCTTATTCTTCTTTTATTTAATATTTTTTTAATTAATTTATTTTTTCTACTTTTATTATTAACTTTTTTCTTAATTTCATTTTGTTTTTAGTTCCCTTTCTATAATAATTAATTTCAGTCTACTTATTCAATTTTTTAATTGTTTTAAAATTTTGTTTGCTTTTATTTCATGCCAGAGAAGACCCATTAAGAACTTAGTAATTTGATCGAAATTGTCGCATTAGTCAGTATTTGCATCAGCTCATACCAGTTAACTAACTAGTCATCCTTCACATTAGTTTAATCTACTACCAGAGTGCTTATTAACTAGTTTGACTTTTAACTGCATATGTACATATGTACATACATACTTACACACATCCATACATATGTACATGTACATGCCTGCAAGGGACAGTTGTAAATAAAGTAAGCCTGTGCGTGCATACATACATATGTGGATGGGGAAATTCTTTTGTATCTTTAATTAAATTGTAGGTTGAAAATATTTCTAATTTCTACCAATTTATGTAGCTGAGACCTATGAGAATACACATAAAAGGAAGTGTCCGAAAGTAGAGAAGAATGTATAACCACAATAACATCTAGATAATCAAGTACACGCATATGTTTGTCAATGTGTATGTGGGGATGTGTTTGATTAAAAGTTAAGATCGTTTTACATAATGCTGGAAAGTAATTTTTATGGGCCTGTTTTTTACAGTACTGAATGCCATATGCATGTAAAGGAATGTGGAGTTTGAGCAATGCGTTGTAGATAATTAAAAGGCGTACATACATATGTACATACATATGTCTATGAATGGGAGAGTACTCCTTCCGATTGAATATTTGCATGTAGTTACATAGGTACACCTCGGTTCACTTGATTATGCATATTACTATTTTTTTCAAGAACCGTGCATACCTACATATATGTACATATGTGCCTCAAAAGTATTTTGGTGCTGTTACTCCGTCTCAGTACTCCCAAAACTCTTATGCCGAATTTTTACTAGGAATCAAGGCACATTAAACAGGTAGTATCAGTAGAGCAAAAACAACATTTGCGTGTATTTTGTTGTTGCTTCTGGTATCGAAAGTGTCAAAAACTGTTCTGAATTTTTTCTTCTAAATCAAAGCGTGCCATGTGAAATACAAAAAATTATAAACAATAAAAAATTGAAATTGGAAAAAATAAAAATTGATGCAATTTTCTTTCCTAGTAAATTTGTTTGCTTCTCGAAGCATTGATCCATCCTTTGCAAGGCCCAGTAATCAGCGGTCGTGCTGCCGAGTTGGGCGAACGTTCCAAAAGCTGCTATTCAATCGCTTGTTTTGTATGGAAAAAGGTTTCACAAGCAAATGGATTTTAACAATTCAGAATTTTTGTGAGAAAAAATTAAAAATATTTGACATTTTTTGAACGTAATGACACGATTATTTTTTTATGCCCAACTTTGTCATTAAATTTTTTCGACAAATTACAAGCAAATTTTATTTCAGTTTTTTAATAACAATAGATTGGCACTTACTTGCACGTATGCTAGTTTTGGACGAGCTTCTTTGCCGATTTGTGGCGTGCGCCTTGATGTTGTCACACAAATGAAAATATATTATACTTAATCTTATAAAACCAGTAACTGGTACTCTTAGTTGCCTAAAAGTTGCCTAAACCTCGACAGGTGGCAACCCTCTTTAAAATCTTAACAAACTACTACCCTCTTAAGCTATTCTGGCGTCCATATGGTGATATATTTTGCTATTAACAAATTCTCTTAATTCAAATAGAGTTAAACTTTTTAAACAGGTGGTAACCCTCCCACTGTTAAATTAAGAACTAAAGCCTTTTCAATACCATTCAGTTTAAATTTTTAAATAATTTGAGCTTAATTTTTTAATAGGTGGCAACTATTTTCTAAAACACCTCTTTTTTGAAACTCAAACAAACGATGCAGATCTGATGTGAGGAATAAAAAGGTCTTTAACGAATTCTTTAAAAAAATTTATTGATAATCGTATTATTTATTTTATTTTGTATACATCATTAAATACATATATTATCGAATGCATAATCGCCGTTTGCACGCACAAAATTATGTACATACATACATACTCCATCGGCGCTTAGTGATTCAGTGAAACGGAAGCTTGTTTTGAAGCGCCCAAGTTACCCAGGGTTTCTTGAAGTGATCGCAAAATTCCGATTGGTATCTATTCGAATAAATGAAGAAATTAAAATTGCAAATAGAATTAAAATTACGTACGGTATGTAAGTAGTTAAGGTTTAAAAGAAAAGCAGCAATTTCTTCTAAAGGAACTTACTTGCAAGGCGCTCGTCACCACATCTGGTCCAATATTCAGGTTCATGTCGGGGATTGGTGATGGAGCGGAATAACCAAAGTTTTGATTTTCTACACGCTTAGACAGATGCTTAGAATGAGCGATGTTGACACCTGCATTGGAGTTTGTGTTGACATTGGCATTGGAATTGGCATTGGCATTGGCACTGGCAGCAACTTGAGCGGCATACTGTGGCAGGAGATAAAGAGTGAAAGTTTATATCAGATACCCAAACATTTGTGCATTCTGTAATTATTTGTGGGTTTATGTTATTTTTGGCGTGTAGCCAAATAAAACGAACAGCTAAGGGGAAAACATTGTTTGGTGGCAGGGGAAATTGGTTGAACACTTGAATAAATATTGTATTACATGTAAGTAAAACTTTACTATGTACATAGTAGATATGTATACAGAGTTGGGCAAAATTTACTCAAATAATCAATACAAAAAGCTTATTGTTGTTTTCGTTATTCGTAAATGATAAATAAATAATTGGGTTGTTCACAGTTGCCTGGTTATCAGGTTATCTGGTTATGTGGTTATATTATTTACTCAGTTAACAACAATAACATACACTACAGAATAATAATTTTTAACCACATAACCTGATAACCAGGCAAGTGTGAACAACCCAAATTTTATTAAACAAAAAAATATTCGCATGACGAATAAATAACGATCAAAAACACGAATAATTTATTTATAAGCCATTTATTCACGAATATTCGATTCGTGCAAGGATTAACATACTGGGCATAAAATTTTATTAGAATTATTATCTAAATAACAATTTGTTCGAATAATGCTCCACTCTGTATGTATGTATGTATGTATGTGCATATGTCGTTTTCTACGTGTGCGGTGTTGTGTAAGCCAGTAACCACAGTGTAATACAGCTTAAGTGCAAGCTAAACCCTTTTATTGAGAGAGCCCAAGTAAACCGATTGCCCTGGATAATTAAGCAAACAATTGTGTTATTTCCAATGCCCAATTAAACGGGGTACACTGCCCATATACTAATTTTTTTTAGTTGCAGAGGCTGTAAATAAAAGTTATTCTCAGTTTTAGAAACGATTTCATTCTGACTTCAAAAAGAATATTTAATTTTTAGTTTTTAAGTATCAATAGAAAAAGAAATGATTCGTTTCTTTTTGGGCAAATTGTCATAATATTTTCATCAGTTTTGGACTGTTTTTTTTTTGTTGTTTTTGGAGCCTATGGCTAGGGTTCGACCGATACTATCGATATTGAGTAAGTATCGATACTGAGGGTTTTAAAATTAGTACTTTAATACTCGATACCTTATTTGGTGATTTTACACGATACTTTGCAAAGTACTTGTAGTATCGAATACTTTTTAAAAAACACACTTTTTAAATTTTTTCTTCCATTGCTTTTCTTGCTTATATGGATTACTAGTTTAGTCTGTTGCATAACCTAAACCAAATAAGTTAAAGTTTAATGGCCTTATTCTTAAGAAATAAAGTAAATTTAAAGAGCTTAATAAAATGACATTTTCATACATTTTTCAGTTTATAAACCTTTTTTATTTTTTATGAATAAGGCCATAAAACTTTACGCAAAGTTCACGAAAATGCAGAATTTTTAGAAACTTTTTGGGTATGCAGTTTTGTAAAATATTCAAATTTACGTGTAGCCTACTACCGTCGACTTTTAATTCAAACTTGCACATTATTATACTAAAATTGAATAGGCTACAAAAATGCATACCCTAAAACTTTACAAAAATTTCTTAATAAAACTTGAAATTCGTGAACGTGAATTATATATATATATATATATATATATATATATTTATGTATGTATGTACATTTAACGTTAAATTACTTCTAACGTGAAAGTAAGTTCTGCAATGAAATAAAAATCAAATATTTAAAATTTCTATTGTTTTAATTTTAGGAAATAACTAGTAGATATACGATTGAAGAATAAAATAATTTTAGTATCCCAAAAAACGTATTTTAATGAGTCCGATACTGAGTAGTATCGATACTTTTTCCCTGATACTTTTAGAGTATCGATACCATGAGCTCGATGCCAGAATGAGTACTCAGTATCGATACCAAAGTCTGAAATTTCGAACCCTACCTATGGCAATTTACATACACTTTTTGAAACCTTTCAAGGTTTTATGTGTTACTTATATGACTTTTCTGGATTTTTAGTATACATATTTTCATTCATTTATTATTTAGGACATTTTGGGATTTCTACGGGAAATTTAAATCTTTATTTTACTTATACCAGTTTTATTATATGGCGATTGAGAGGTGCATGAGCCAGAAATTCATAAAGAAATTTTCACGCATACCCATGCGCTATAAAACTGCATACCCAACATTTTGCTAGAAACTCAAATTTTTTTTTAATTTTGGTGAAAATTTGTTATAAAACATTTAAATTTTTTTTGGTGAAATTTTTTTTTTGTTTCGGGGGCACCTTAAAATTGTTTTCAACTCATTTTTACTATCTAACGTTTCTTAACTGGAACAAGAGAAACGATTTTCTTCAAAATTAGTACTTTTTCTGCACTTTGCACTAAAATTTTTTTTTATATAAACAAACAAAAATTCAAAAATCGGTCTCTTGCAAATTTTACTAGCTTCGATTTAAAAATAATAATCAACTTGAATGAAAAATAAAAGCTCCAGTGAATTGTGAACACTAAATTCCAATTTTTGAACCACTGTGCGCTGGTACTTCGGCAAAATAAATCAAATTTAAATCAGTTACTGTTATGTTTGAGTGAAAAAATAAAAATCATAAGATAATCATTATTTTTGATCGCCGTTGAGCGAAGAAATAAAACTAAATAATAATAATTAAATATTATAAAATAATTATTTTTGATGGAAAAAGTAAAAATCAAGTAAGTAATAATAGTTTCCTTGTCAATGTTATTGTGGCTTATTAGCATTAAATTTTTTTTTTAATATTTTTATTGAGCTTTGGACCACGATTTTTTATTAGGAAAAATTGAAAAGCAACAAAATCTAAGCGGTAGAAGTTATATCAGCTATTTCGGAGATCACCACGTCTCCTCATCAGACTTCTTTTTTCTAGACTTCAGCAGAGAACGAACATTTTCAATTAAATTTTTCCTAATAAACAATAAAAATATTTAAAAAAAAAATACAAAAAAAAAAATTATAATTTTCTTTGAGCGAAAATATAAAACTCAATAATAATAGTTATTTTTAAGCGAAAAAAAATAAAAATCATAAAATAAAGATTAAATGCTGATTTGAATTGTTTTACTCATAATAATTTTTAACAAAAATTTTTCCACCCATGCTAAGTCCAGCAAAAAAAAAAGTTTTATATACAAAATAAATTGAGTTTTTATTCACGACGTTTGCAGTCAAAAAGGTTAAAAAACAAAATAAAAATTTGAGCGCTAATACATAGTAACTATATACAAGTAGTTTTTGAAACTTTGAACAGTTTTTTGTTCAAATGCAATTTCTGCTGAAAATTTCGAGTGTGGATGCTTCCTCAAAAGTGCAGCTTCGAATACAATAAATCGTGGTTCACATAATGAAGATAACTTAAAGAAGTTTAGAAATTAAGATTAAAAATTTTCTAATATTTTTCGTATTTCGCATCCATTCGATTTTCCATTTGTGATCGAAAGGTTGTTCGAATGAACGATTGTGTTCAGTCGCTTGTTCACGACTGCCATCATACCGAATTACGATTCGAGCTCAGGTCATATGTCCCTTGTTCTGTTATGCCCAAGCACAGCTAGCTAACTAACTACTTAACAGCAATGCAAGTAAGTATGCATCTATATTTATTTTTTATCAAAAATAAAGGTAAAAAAATATTCATATAAATGTCTAAAGCACAACAAATTTGCTTTAACCTCCAGAACCACAGCAACGAAGGAGTGAGCGATTAAATTGCACCAGCATTATTAAGCAAAAACTAAAAGCACAAGAAAAAAGAAAAAAAAAATGCTTGCAGCACGTACAAACCACAAACATATGTAAAGCATTGATGCAGAGATGGGATGAGAGGTATAGCGGAGGGTGACCGCGCTTGCATTTAACCGCACAATTTGCATAAAATGCCAAATGCAGCCATGTAAGAAACTGCGAGCAACAAGCTATGCGCAACTACTGCATAAGTACTTACATATGTATGTATATATAAAAATGTATGTTCATATGTATAGTTGAGTGTATGTATGTGCACAATAGTAGCCTACGTGTGTTCGTGTGTGGGAGCGTAAGCACCGTTTTTTGGGATGAGGGGAGGGCTATTGTACTCGTATTATTGCAGCATTGAGAATCAATAATGCGACGTATGAGCGCCGACTCTCCTGCACCGCGCCATCACTTAACTTTGCCCCCCACCACAAAAGCAATTTCCAAATTAAGCCGACCGCTATGCTACTAACGGTTACCGCACTCCTGTCAGTACCATATTGTTTTTTGTTTTGGTTTTTAATTGCAGTTTTTATTTTTGGTTTGCCTATGCCGAGCGCTGCTGCTAAGATACCTGGTTGTAGTGCTGTTTTTTGACAGCTAAACTTCCTGCCGACGAATCATCATCGTCTGTAGTGGTAGCTGCGCTTTCGGTCCAATAAACAACACGCTGTGTCTGTACCAAACGCTCACGCTCGCGTTGCCGCTGTTGCTGCCGTTCGCGTTTATGCTGAATTTGTGGTCGAATGCGTGATTTTTGTCGCAAGCGTTGTCTGCTCACAACAATGGTGGGCGGTGCGGCAGCAATGTCGCCGGCACCTTCAACGTGCGTTTGCACTGGCGGCTGCTGGTTGCTGATTTGTCCGACGTCCTTGGTGGTGTCGATGGTGACTGTGGTTTTGGTGGAGGTTGCTGCTGCTGCAGGATGTTGCACATCGGCAACATGAGCAGCGATTTTTTTCACAGCATATTTACGTTTTTCCACGGTTGTAGAGGCGGCGACATTACTGTCGTCATTATGGTCGGTATTTTTTCCTCCCGTTGCTGCTGCTGCTAAAATGTCATCCGCATGATTAGGGGTCTCTGCGCTGTTGGTTTGGTGGGCAGCAGTGGCCTTGCGGTCAGAATTATTGCGAATTTTATTTGTGCCACTACTGAGTGTCTACAAAGGTGATGGTGATTAAGTTAAAATGTGTAAAATAGTTTTTTTTTTTTAAAGTTAAGGAAAGATTTCTTTTGCAATATTTTGCAAAAGGGACGTATTTTTTAAAGTTAGCGAATAAAAAAGGCTTCTATGCCTGGCATTGTGTGCTGAAATTGTTAACCTTGTTTCCAAAGAAGCTTTGAAAGTCTCGAAGTCTTCTATGAAAAGGTTTCGTTGAACTTATTAGACATTCAAAATAAAATTAATCAAATCCGCTTTAATTTTCCAGTAAAGGTAGGTGCTTAGAAGAGAAGGAGAGAGAGGAAGATGCAAATCTTGCTTACATACTCGCAGCAAAGTTTAGATTATTGTATGTGTCAATGTACATATTTATGTGAAATCGACCAATGTTTGAAATCGATCATTTATGTATGATTTGGATGAACTTTTCGTCAAAACTTTTCATTCACATTCGATAGTTTGACATGGTAGCGACGATATAACGAAGTTCTGCAAAAAAAAAAGAAAATGTTTCGAAAATTCAAAATTCACAATTCCCGGATTTTGCAAATTTATTTTTTGAAGATCCCAAAAACTTTTCTGGTCACTCTTTAACGTTGATATTTGGGTCTATATAAAAAAGATATATAAAAAAAGTCGCAAAATAAAAAAACATTACAGAATTTCAAAATTTAAAAAATCGCAAAGCAGAAATTTATTCATATCTACATATATGTACGCTTTTGGCAAAATTTTTTTTATAAATTGATGCTATTTTAAATATGAATTTTTGAACTTTGAAAATTTCAGTTTTACCCTTAATTAAAAATAAATTTAAATTTTTGAACATAAATTTATTAAGAGCTATCAAAAAATCGTGTTTGTTTTTCAAAGTTAAAATATTTTAATTAAAAAAAAAAAACACTTGAAAATTTCAAAAATTCATATTAAAACAAAAACAACTTGACAAATTTAGGTTATTTTCAGATCAATTGCAGATAAAAAGTTAAAAAGTTTTTGATTTTATGTTGTTTTTGATTTCAAAATTCTGTGTTTTTTACATATGTTTGTATGTATATATTTTTTCAAAAAATAAAAAATCCCGGAAATTGTGAATGCTTGAATTTTGCATAACTTAAAAAAAAAATTTAAATTTTTTCGCAGCTTTCGTTATATGTAACTAGTAATTTTTAGCAAAAAAAAAACCGACTTCAACTCCCATATAAAAAAAAAATATGTATATATATATCTCATGATCCGCTGATCGGATCTTAACCAGATTAGTATGGGACCACCTCTGAGACACTACCTTTCCGATGCAAAAAAAATTATCGAAATCGGTTGACGTTGTCCAAAGTTATGCGGTAACATACATAAAAAAAAAAAAAGCTTCCGACGAACTGATAACTTCCTCCTTTTTTGGAAGTCGGTTAAAAAGGAAAGTTCTGACCAAAAATTCATCCAAATCGAAAATGGTCAATTCCAACCATAATTCGATTTGACATATATTGACCCATGTACTTATGTAGTACATATATGAGAATTTCCTCCGAAATCCGACGTTAATTTGAATGGATAGTGCTATGGCGAACTCCAATTCGACGAATGAAGATGAAAACAATGGTTATTTTATTTAATGAATGGTTAGAATAATATCTTCTGGCGCTATTAACACACATAGTTAGATCTGTTCAATAAAATACTTACACTGGGTTTGATGAGGTACTTCTTTGGTGGTCGTACTTTTTGGATGTACGTCTCCCCTGATTCACCTGAGGACTTAACGTTGCTGGGTGCACTGGTCACTGTATCCACTTGATTGTTGAGTGCATTTGGAAGGACTTTTGTATTGGATACAACTTTACCATCAGCATAAGCAACTGAGCCACCGTAGCCACCTTTACTGGTATCACCGCCGAGAATGGCTGAGGCGCCGGTGTGTGGATTGGCTTCTGCACCCGCATATAATATACCGGCGGCATTGCCTAGGCGGGAGAAAGAGACAAATAAAAATATGGAAATACAAACTTGATTTGGGAAAAAATAAACGTACCGAGGGCTTTTGTTCAATACCCCCTATCTACATTTTTCACAAAAATTAGATGCAATTGCAGATAGAGGGTATTGAATATAAGCCCTCGATACGCAGAGGAAAATATGACGTCTTAAATTTTAAAGTTTATTTCTATGAATGGTTCCTAGACGAGGACGTAAGATTCGATTAGGCTGGGTGAAGGTGATCTCTCCGAAATGGGTTTGTCCTATGTGTTACCACATAACTTTGAACGGTAGCCATTAATCAATTGATCTAACGTCACATACTAATCGAAAACTTACGAAGGCGACAAATATTTATAATTGAGTGTGCCTCAGGCTAAGTTAAAAAGTGCAACCCATTTTTTAAGCATTGAATTCCAATCCGAAAGTGCACTATCAGCACCTCCATCAAAAGCGAGAGCGGTCAGCACGTAAACGCCGTCTTGACCGTTTCCGATCCACTTAGTGTCAGTACAACCTTGGAACTGGGCTTGTTGCAATCTGCAGTTTTAAGCAAAGTCACTATAACCTGGTATAACTACAGACATGTAAGATTCATATTTCGACACGATGAATGGGAGATAAGGCAGCCCTTCTAGGAATATTGATTGCGGCATGATTATCTAAGTAGGAAACGTCATACTGGCTTCTTTAATTGCAACTACTTCTCCTTGCGAAATGTTTGATGAGGACCTTTGGGCGGAAGACGTGCCATCCAACTTTTCCGTCAAGTTTCGATGCACTTGATGTAGAGAAAGGCAGCTTTGAATCATTTCAAAAATAAAGGGATCCATAAAATCTGGTACAAAAGTGTACGCTTCAAAAAAGGTGGAATGCCGAGACGCTGAGTTTGTAAAGCACCAAATTTATCTGAAATTAATTGCACCCGCACGGATTGGTCTGCGGTACATCACAAATATCAGTGAGTGCAGCCCGCGGTAAGCCACTTAGCTGGCACATCCCAACGTCTGCGGTTCCATAGAACTGAATAGGCTTAATTATGATGCCGTAGAGCAAACTCTACAAATTTACCAATCGCGTGACTTGGCCCTAATTCAAGAACATTTGAATACGTTCCACATCTTGTGGATATAGACGAGTGCGTAGAGATGCTTGCTACTAGTTGTTAGCTTGCAGAAGGGTTCGGGTTCGAGTGCTGTTAGACGGAACATATATCTTTTTTTTCGATTTTTCTTAATTACGTAAAAGCTTCTGTGAAGTGCAGAACAAAATGCTGTTCAAACGAAAAAATATCAAAAAATAAATCTGTTTAAAGCAAATAAAACGTCGTGTGGAGCAAAATCACATGTGTTTTACGGATTGTTATGAAAAATTATCTTCTTAAATTCGCAGTATCGCTAAGTTTTTATAAGCGTACAATATAATGTATGTATGTCAAACTATTTTATTCATAACCCTCTACACTTTATACTCTTGACGGAAGTGCGCACTTCCATCTTTCGATGTCGAGACCTGACAAACATCAATATTTTAAGTAAATATGTACTTATTACCTGAATAATACGAAAATGGAAGTACATACATACATATATATGCATTTGTATTACCATTCATGCTGTCTAGAAGGTTAATGTGGTGAGTATTTTAAATGTTTTAAAACCAACCTTGAACTTATGGAATTAGATAACCTCCTATTTTGTCTGATCAAACGCGTGCAGCTGAGAAAACTAATTAAATAAATACTAGCCTAGAAGCAGAAGGTATACTACTACTTCTTCCACTTCCTATGAATTAAAGCTATGGTAGCTCAATTCCAGCGGTGTGAGCACTAGGGTGGTGCAATAAAAAGTAAAGTTGGAATGTTAATGCTCTCCCACCTAGAATTGTTCTATAACGAAAAAAATATTCCCCTATTTCTTATTTCGAAACCAAAAAAATATTTAGAGGTTGGTCAAAGCGCTCAAAGTTTACCATGTACTTCATATGTTCTATGACCAAGCAAGATGCCAACGTAAAATGTTGGCTATACTTTACTTTCATTAAAGCTTGTACCATAACTGAATACTTAAAAATAGAAGAAATATAAATCAATTATTGTTTTATGTACCACCGGCGCTGCCTCCTAAGCCAGCAGCAGCTTTTTGCCCATAGGGTGTGCCTGCCGAAGCGCTGAGTCCGCCATGTGCTGAGTCGCCAGTCAATAGGCCACCTAAACCAGCCTCCGCGTGGTATCCACCGAAATTGACGCCAAATTTACCATCTCTGAATGTGAGGAGCTAAGACGAAAGCAAAATAAATAAAATGAGACAAAATAAATAAAATGATACAAATTAAATAACAGGTAAATAGCATATACGTAATTAAAAATTGATAAATATTAAAAAAATGTCTGCAGAATTGTTGTCAAAATATGAACACTTGTGAATACAATAGGAGTGTACTCGTACCCAAAACCATGATAAAAACATAACAAGGTAAATTCATTATCTCAATTCGTAGGCATGATTTTTTTCTGACGTTTTCAAGCATTTTAAAATCATATAAAATTTAAACAAAAAAAAAATTAAATTGTACACAATTGTTGTTGCTTGAGATTGAAAATGAGAATGTGTGTGTGAGTTTGAGTTTTTAATTTTTAAATTATATTGCTGGCAAACGTCAGACTGGTTTTACCTTGTTATGTTTTTATCATGCCCAAAACTATTAAAAGTTTATGAAAACTAAAGAAATATGTAGAAAACTTACAAAGTAGGGGAAATTGAGAGAGCAAAATGTTATAGAGCGCTGTAAATTTCTGCTGGAAAAATTTTTACAAGCGAAAACTTGCAAGTAAGAAAATCAGCTGATCACATACACATGTTTGTAAACAAACAACAGAAAATATGGCCTTTTTGGGTTATTTATTGCAAATTTTATTAGATTTGTACTTTAAAAAGTATTTTCTTATGCAAAACTATTCAATTGTATAAAACGCCAAATCGAGGAAAATGTATCAAGCAGAAAATAAATTGCCAAATGAACCACCAGTGGCAACTGTGGAAGCGATCAGCTGTTTCGCAGGTTGCGAGTTTTTGCAAATTTTGAGTTCTCCTACTTCTGTGAATATTTTGTCTCTTTGAGAGCGAATGCTGCTAAATTCTCAGAATTTTTGTCCGCTCAATACGAGAACACACACACAAATATTTTGCTAATTAATGGAAAGTGCAGTGATGCATAGGTTTACCAAATTAGACATTCTGATAAGTATTCGATTTATCAAATTTCTTATCACTCTACATATGTACTCTTACACGAAATGGAACATGCAATGACAGTACATATATATTTCAAAATCAAATCGATATCAATACGATTATCAACGTTGCTATTTTTTCTTATGTGCATTCCGTTATCTTATCGTGCCTGTTGCTGACGAAAGTCAAATCGGTGGTGTAGCGTTAAGGCCAGGTTAATTACAAAAATCATCACGGTTGTACATATGTATGTATTGCCTTTGAAAGGCAGGTGATTTTTAAGGTACGCTCAATTTGTGCACAACTGTGTTTAGATAGACGTATTTCATATACATTTGTACATCGGCGACCGCTGTAGCCGAGAGGTGCGCACTACCACTGTGTACAACCGAGGTTCGATTTACATTGTAATGCATATAAAAATGTTGCAAGTCGGACAATTTTTTAATTTCTGTAAACTTTTAGTCCTTTTGCCACGGCCATAAATGATATATCGTTGGAAAGATTTGAAGCTTAGCTATCAAAATAAGCCATTTGCGAATAAATGGTACGTTTTTTTTTTTAAATTGCAATACAATATTTTTATTGGAAATTTTTTGGAAAAAAAATTTTAGCAAAAAATGTTTATTCCCACCAAAAAGCACGGAAAAAGTTCCAATAGGTCGGCAATTTTTGATTCTATCTTATAAGTGTGACATGAGATAAGAATTTCAAGAAAACTTGTGGCTGAAACTAGCCAAAAAACTGCGTTGGAAAAAAAATTTTTACGCATTAGTTACCAGTAATCAAAACAACAACGTGGTGGAGTTTGAAAAAAAATGCTGACATAACTTCTTCGTGTGAAAATATTTTCATATATTTCAAATAAATTTTCACAATACATATCAGAAATAGGTCACTGTTTTTTTAGTAGAATAAACGTAATAAATTCCACCACAAATATGTCTCACTATTGAAAATTCGCAGAAAAAGTATATAAAATCAACTAAAATATATTTGAGTTTCACTAGGATTATAAATTGATTTCAGAACACTGTCACATCTTTCCGCTGTCATTTTCAAAAAATTCGGAAAACATTTTTTTTGAGCCGAACTTGTTCAACAGAACACACTGTGAGGCGGCGTAAAGCTGTGGACCTTTCCATTTGTGTAACAACATTAAGAACCAAACAACAAATTGGAGGAAAAGTTTGGCCTTAATATGATTATATTATTATTATTATTATTATTTCATAAACATGCGAATGGCCTCTAATTATTTTTTTGTTATGAATGCTTTGTACACACCCACACACTTATATATGTATATATATATATGTATATACACTGTACATTAGGGTGCATCACCAAAAAATGTTGCGACTTTTCCACAGCAATTATAAAATGAAAAATAAAAGGCTAAATAAAATTTTAAGACTTTCGCCGAAATATTTTGGAAAATAATTAGGATTTGCTGGAGCAAGACCGATTTGAAAATTCCTAAAAAATCTCATTATTTTGATTTCTTTGTATCAATCTTTAAATATTTTTATGCATACCCTTTAAGCTCTTCTATCAGCTGAGGTGATTTTTAAGAAAAAAATTTTTAAAGACTACCAATACATTTACACAAAAAAAAAAACGATTTTTTGGCGATGTTTTCAAATGGGCCCAGTTTACTTAAATCTTAATATTTTTCCGAAATATTTTGGCGAAAGTCTTAAATATAATAGATTTTATACTTCTAACAAAAAAACCGCATCGAATCTTTTTTTTTGGTATGAAGAGTGATGCACCATAATGCACATATATACATTGTACATTTGTGTGTACATTTGTATGTGACAACGGTTACGCAGACGAAGGTGGCATTATCAGCGTACGTATTCTTTATAGTTCTATGCTATCATTTGATATGGCCAGTAGTGTATCTTTCGTGTTACAATAATGACAGTTAAGTTATTGTCGTTTTCATTTTCATTTTCATTGGTCTGCCTATTAATTGCGAAATCGTTGTTGTTATCCGAAGCGGCCTCAATCACTTGGGGCCAACAGAGCAAGTATGCTTCAACTATTTACGACGAAGAAATTCAAATAACTGATGCCAATCCCGCAGTCGAAATAACCTATCCGGAAAAGGTGAGCAGCAGTGCATTAATACACATTTACATACATACATAAGTATGTCGCATTGTTTGTATGTAGCTTTGTAAAATGGTTAAATTTAGAATTCCAAAGGGGTCATAATTTATGTAAAAGTCAAGTCAAAATATGCAACCGAAATTGTAAATTCTGCATGGCATAGCCCAAGAGGGTTTGAAATTTCCTACATCTGCATAGAACCCTTTTCAGGTGTTGTGTGAAGTGAAGTTATTGTGCTTCTTTTTTTAACAACTTAGTGCACGATGTTGACTTAAATAAGAGCATTCATTTAATATCCAAATTTATTTGCAAGTTCAGGGGAGCTTCAGTTGGGCGCTCTGTGCTTAAATCCCCCTTCTATTTTGTTCGCGCTACGAGTTGGTGAAATCGTTTCGGTTTTGACGATGTATCGCCGGATAGCCCTTAAGAGTTATAAATTTACAGTAATATACAAAGGTTAGCGAGTAATGAGCGTGTAGGCTGTGCATGATTATTTGTAAAGGAATGCGAAATTGAATGCATAATGATGTCCAGTGGTTGATGTTGGAAAACAAAATTAATGATATAGATAAAAATATCGATAAAAAAATGGATAATAAAAGTGCTCAGAATATGGATAAATGTGATGGTAAATTCGTTGAAAAAATCGTGAGGTACGCTTATTTGCAATATCGATACATTTATCGAAAACAATAAACCATTCTAATACTGTTGTAAAAAAAAGAGGTTTAAGAAGACTTACAGCCGAAAATATTTTTGTGGAGGGTGGCATATATTTGAAAAAATTATAATTTAATTTAATTGATAAGATAAATAAAATATTGCAATATGGGTAACAAACTGAAGAGGTTTAGGAAAGTTTACTGCCGAAAATATTTTTGTGGAGGGTTGCCACCTATTTGAGAAATTTTATTTAATTAAATTGATAAAATAAATGAGATATTACAAGAAGGGTATCAAACAATATAAAAATACTCTTTAGGCGCAATGAAGCACGCCAGGTATTGGCTAGTTGAAAATAAAATAATGCATATATTTTTGTTTTCTGGCATGGCTGCAGTTCGTTTTTAAAGAAAGTTTCATTTTATGATATCAACAATATTATTAAGCTTAATCAAATTAAGTAAATAGTTGTTCCACTGAAAACGACGTTGGTGAAATTCTGAAAAAAATTTGAAAATACTAGATCGGTGATAGATATAAGTGGTGTTTAATGAGACCGAAAAAAGTGCAGAGCAGCTCAAGTTTGAGCCGAATAGTGCAGCTGTCAAAAACAAAAAAATCAACAATCGAACAAGTTGGAGAACCAAACAGAAATTTATGCATTGCATTATGCAATTTCATTTGACCACCCATCATTTCTTATTTATCTATCGATTTTTTTCATCAGTAACTTGATTTTTTTTTTGTAACAGAATTTTTATAATTTTTCTTCTGCTAAAGTTTGATGTTTTTTCATTCTTTCATTAAAAAATAAAAAAAGCTGGAATGATCAATTAATTTGCCAGAAACTATAAGCCCTATCGGAAAGTGATGTATACATGGTTTATGGAGAACTTCATTAGCTTTCATTTGCCGTATTTTGATTTAAGCTGAATAACGGTGAATTGAAAATATCTCGAAAACGTATCCATAGAATTAAGAACTAACTAGACTTTCGGAATCACCGAGCAATTTTACATAGGAATTGGATAGTGTCATCCATAGAACATTTTTGCTGTAAACCAGTGTAATTGACGAGAGAAACACTAACTGTAACAGGCGCTCCTTAGTGTAGACTAGGCTTACTAATTCGAAACTACTTTTTTAGCCTAGATAGATAGACAGATAGATACAGTGACACAAACAAATATTCGTAATGTTTTTCGATCAAAATTTTTTTTGTTATTTTTATATAAACCATACGACAACTTGCGCGGGAACTGACATTGTAGCATTTGTCTTGCAAAAATTTACCAATTTGTAGCGGGTCGCAGTGCATACTTTCCCCTAATATACAGTGACTCAAACAAATGACCACGTGTTATTTTTGTTTTTAATATTCGTCATATTTTTCCACCTAATTTCTTTTTGTTATTTTTATATAAAAATATCGTTCAAGTTTTAACCAAAACTGTGTAAATCACAGTTTCAAACTTTATACAAAATTTAGGAAAATTCAACAAATTTTCATCAAAATTTCAAATTTTTATTCTGAATTTTTAGAAAATTTTTGGGCATGCCTAACTGTAAAACTGTAATTATGATATTTTTGTGTGTGCAGGGTCGCCAACAGTAAATCCGAGCCCGGTACTAAATATGTGCCGGGCCCCTTCCTCACCTTAAAAATTTATCAAAATCTTTTTATTTTCCAAATTAATTTTCAGAAAGTTAAGGAAGACCATCTCCCTTTCGACAGGCTTAAGCGTAAACAGCATCACCAAAAAAACTTAAAATTTATATACCCATATATAGCCACATACTAACTCCTAAACACTCAGTTGTTTTTAATTTACTTCTCAGTACAAAGGTACATATTCAAGTACGTCCTTCACTGTTTGCTACATACCTAAATATGTACATATGCATATGTATGTATCTTCAAACAGACAATCTTATCGAAAATTATATTTGTTTGCTGAATGATTAGCAAAATGTTTTGTCTAGCGGAGTTAAACAAGTACTTTCTATTTAACTTTATTTTATTATTATTTAATTTCTGTACTAATTATGTTTTACTGCTTTATAGGGCTGCATTGACTGCAATGACTACACCATCGTCGCAATGCATGCATTCGATATGCAAACACCGCCACTGCGCGCCACAGCGGACGGGGAAAGCATAAATAAGGAAGTGGCAAATTCAACAACGATAGAGGTGTTGCGTGGCGGCATAGGCTTCAATTATACAACAATACGATTTCAAAAAATAACAAAATCCGCTAATCAACTACCAGTTGCAGACAAAGGTGACAAACCAGTTGACAATGAAAGTGTTAAAGCTACAGGGCGTAGAAATGTTGTTCGCGCCCACTATCAGTTTGTTATTTATGGTGTTAGTATATAAGAATGCATTGTTTGTACATAAATACATACATACGTATACAGTAAGGTTGATAATAAGTACCTAAATAAAATAAGATAAAAGGAATGCATATAACGTCTAAATATGTGTGTATTAGAGGGCTGCATGAATTCATTCAAAACTGCTTATGAATTATTCATATACAAAACGAATGAATGATTTTGGCTTAAACATTTTTTTTTTAAATTTGAGTGAATACCTGTTGAGATTAGGGCTGGGACTATCCGCACATTCGAATATCCGGATATCCATTCGGATTATCCGTTGACACGAATAAAATCCGGATGGTATGGATATCCGGTTAATATTCGCTTGTGCAAGTACTCGGATATCCGGATTTACGAAGATCCGGTTAATATTCGTATTTTCAGATATACAAAAAAAAAATCAACAAACTGATTAATAATATTCGTGAATTCAATCATGCACACGATAGAGTGAATTAGCTCTTGACGGACTTGAAGTTGACCTTTTGTTTTGTATCGTTTTGTCACAATATAAACAAATGGCACTATTCTTGTCATCAATTTTAAAAATGCTACAATTTGGTAAAAAATTCACCACGGCCAAAAGTATCGTAATAGCTTTCATTATTCCGTCCATGATATTTTAAAGCCATGAAAAAACTCTCGCGGTCAATTTTATTTTATTTTTTATTTTTACGAAACGATCAAGGCGAATTTATACAAGGTGGTGTTGATGGCGAATTTAGATTTTCGCCGAGGTACGTCTTAATGTCAAAATGATGTGTTTGTTGTAAAATGAATTCGCCTTGTTTACAACAAACACATCATTTTGACATTCAGTAGTACCGCGGCGAATATTTAATTCGCCATCAACACCACCTTGTATAAATTCGCCTTGGAAACGATACTTTAATTTCCCAATACCAGGCGCTCATGCTTATGATGTAGCAAGTTTTCTATACGCATATATTTGTTTGTTGAACTTTTTAATTCGTTTGTAGAAGCCCTTGAAATGACAAAGTAGAATTTTGGAAATTTTAAAATTTATACAAACAATTTTGTGCGTAGAAATAGAAAACTTGTTACTACACATTTATGAGCGCCAGGTAATGGGAAATGAATGTATCGTTTCGATAACGAAAAATCCGGATATTCGGTTAGCCGAATAGCACCTTAGCTTCCAGAGTAGCCGGATTTTTCATTTAGGTATCCGGATATTCGAATATTCGGTTTATCCGGATAGTAGAAAATTCCGGATGAAGTTCCCAGCCCTAGTTGAGATATATGTATCGGCATAACAACACTGCAAACCAAAGTTCCCAAAATCTTAACGAAATCCTTAGGAGTATCACATTTCTGTAACAATTTTTTTACGAATCTTCAAAGAAAATTATATAAAGGGGCTGACACGAACTCGTAAAGAAATTTCTGTACGAAAAGTAAAGCAAATTCTGAAAAAATAAAGCAAATTCTGAACAAATTCTGCAAGGAATTAATTCTTCACATAGCAGCATTATTCTCATTGCTTTACCGATTTTCTTTCGAAATTTCGTAAAAGAATCGAAGTGAGCGCAGTTTTGTTTGTAAAAAAAGTTTTACCGAAATGTATTTGAATAATTTGAATGTTTTTCATTCATTCATTCATATTCTTCCATTTGAGGGTAGAAAATTAACACAAAATGTATACAGTAAATTTTGCTTAGCACGAAAAACTTGTGCACCTAACCGAAAAAGGCACTTAAGCGAATTTTCTTTACTACTTCAATGAGGAAGGTATCCGAATCCCTATGAAACCAAATAATGGAGAAGCACTTATCACGTAGAAAATAATGCAAGCGAAATTTTTTTTCGAATGGTATCTTATTATCTATATAACTAGACAAATTGATAGCCATTTCCGTTGTTCTGCGATATGAGTAAAATAAATAAAAGCTTGTCAAATTAGGTAATTGTAGGCCAATGCAGGTAAATGTAATACTTTCTTTGATAATTGATACTAGTTGCACAATTTTTAAGGCAGCTATCGCCAATGTGCAGGTATGTTGAATGCATCTATCGGAGCAGTTTCCTTATAAATGTTAAAAATAATGTCTCAGATGCGCATTTTGGGGTAGGTATCTTAAATGTGCACTTAAGCATAAAGGCAGCAAAGCAAAATATACTGTATTCATAACTTACAAAATTCAAAACGGTAGTATTTTGTGAAGTAAAATATTCAAATCTATGTACTCTGTTTGGCTAGATGTTTGAATGAATTCATGCGGCCCTCTAGTATGTATATCAATTTCCTGTGTGATAAATTTGAAGTTTTATAGGGGAAGGAACAAATTTTTTTGAACTGAAACTTCTTTGCGCTCAGTTGGGTATTAAGGCAGATATTTATGTAACGGAAGAGCGACACTATCGTTGGGCTCTATTGTGATTAAGGTTAAGGCTAAGGCTTTGATTAAGATTGAGATTAATATTCATATAAAGATTTACAGCAATAGAAAGTTTAAAATTAAGGTTAAGGTTAAGGTTAAGGTTAAGGTTAAGGTTAAGGTTAAG